TGCTTTTTTGTCCCATTGGAATTTCTACTGATTTCATCACTAGGTATCTTACAAAAAAGTTCCGGAAGTAAACAGAGAATGCATTGAGATTTTACCTATGTGGTAAGAATGATGGAAAAATGTACTCAACTCCAAAAGAGAGTTGAATTGATTGATATTTTCCTACTTTTAATGAAATTTATGTGAAAGCATCAACTTTCTTTACAAAAGATGATCTCTCTTTTTTTATACATCGAATCATTCCATGGATGGTTCCTTGTCCTTGTTTAGATTCACGTAGTTGCAGCAAGGATGAAAGTATGGTACTCCTTCCTTAAGTTTGATCCCAACTTTATGGTCTACCTTGTTCTTGACCAAAGCAATGAGACTGAGCATGTCGTGAGATGTCTCACTGCCAGTTTCTAAGAAGAAGCTTGCTAGGACATTAGAAACCATTGCTCCCCCACTGTAAAAACCTTTCAACCCGGATTGCTCAATCAACTTCATTGTTGCAAATCCCAACTTGGTTGGATTCCTAAATGGTAAAACTTTACCTTAAGCTCCCAAACTTATTTTAGATTCTTCATTAAGCTTTTAAACTTTTATTAAAGCAAATAAGCCTTTTAAACTTTATGATCTAAGCAATTTAATTCTTATTCTTTCCAGTAGACTTAACATTTGTTTGTATATTGCTTATGTATACAAGTTATTAATATATCATTACTTACATGGTTGGTATTGATTTTATCTATTAAGTAACATATAAACAGCCGCTAAGTTTGTAGTAAAGTAGAGGGTTAAATTGTTTAGATCATCAACAAATTTTAGGGGTTTTTTTGTTTCATTAAAAGTCTAAGAGCTTAATTGAGAATTAAGAATTAAGTTTAGGGGGCATGACATGGTTTTACCATTCCTAAATACCGGACCTGCAGCTCTTTTGCGTAATGGTTTAGTTATTCGCCTCTTATGATCTAGACCAAACCATAACCTCGCAGGTATTCCTATTAGCACCAGCATTCATGCAAGAAGCTCCTCCTCCTACTGTCTCCGGAATTCCTCCGGGAAACTCAAGGCCTGTGAATCCTACAAAGACAGGTACTCCCAAGTCCCAACAAAACAAATTCAAAGCAAAACATTGGGCCTTATAACCCAACTTTTTCTTGTCCAGTTATATTGGGCTCATACTTTTCTTGTTAGCCCACCTCCCAACCGCAAAACACCAATTTCAGGAGCAGACCCATCCTAAAAGTAGAAATTCGGCCTTTTACTCCCCTCCGACGATCCCCTGCAATCGACGGTGACATCTGTTTGTCTCGGCACGGCAACAGGGAGCATGGTTCTGTCGGCGGCGGTCGGAACAACGAGAGTTGATGCTTGGTGTGGTTTCACCCTCATATGATGATTCGGAAGCAACGATAATCTTGTATTTTTTTTTGCTTCAGAGTTGCGGTTCGGAAATGGATCGGGCAATTGATGAAGATATTATTGAATGGATACTCGAGTTCATCCTCCGATCAACTTCTGAGGAAGCTTTACAGAAGAAACTCGTGTGCGCGCTTTCAGATTCTAATTCGCGCGTCTGCTCACGGGTATCCAAAACCATCGCCCTCCGATCCATAGAATACGAGATTGAAGATGCGTCGGTGTCGGAGAGGATTCTGGAAAATCTTGAGATCATAGATGAATTGGATCGATCGCAAGGGCTTAGCATTTTGGATTCCATGAAGAAGGCATATTGTGCTGTGGCGGTTGAGTGTACGGTTAAGTATCTAGCTTCCAGTTCCAACAGGAATGGGAAGTATTTCGAAGCCGTCAAGAGGATATGGCGGGGAAGAATTGGTAATCTAGAAAAATTGAATATTAGCAAGTTGTTGACTGAAGAGTTGATTGCATCTGGGGAGGAAATTGAGGCTGCTGTTTGGGATGATGATCTTTGTAGTAGACTGATGGATAGAAATACACGAAATGCTGCCTTGTTTTCGGTTAGGGATTATTTGGAGGAAGCGCTCCCATCAATGGGGCCAACAATTCTTGAAATGGGTAGTAAGCTGATGCGGAGTGTTGGTGGTGACCACTTGCACCCCACAGTTAGTATTCGAGAGGGTAGTGGGTGCAGTGGCGATGAGAGGGATCAGGAAGGAAAAGAGAAAGGTAATTTCTTTCACTTTTTTTTTTTCCCTTTCCTTGAAAAGTAAGTAGTCCTGTAAATGTGAGTGGTTGTGTGAATCATTTGAATTATCTGTCAAATGGGTCTTGAGAAACTAACTTTTACATGCCAAGTGCTAACCATTGCTTTGAATGAGTTTTTCCTTTGTTAAAAACCTAATTGACTGTTTTTTGTATGTTCTTGCATGAGCTAATTGAAGTATACAAGCACAGGGAGCGTTGTTTTTCTTGTTTGAATACAAACTCTTATGTGCCTTACATGTGTTTCTTCTTACTATTTGTTTATCAAGACAGAAGTATTTTATACATTCATTTTTATCCTTATGCTACTTACAGAGAAGACTCCATCAGCAGAAGTTAGACAAGAGCTTGAAAGGCTTAAAGGTACTTCTTTGGAGTTACAAAAGGCAGTGACAGACCCTCTGCCTGAAGCACTACGTGATGATGAAACTATAGCATTGGAGATGGTCAGGAAAAATGCCAGTGGAGAAGTAGTTGGTGTCGAGGAGGGTGACATTGAACCTGATGGGGCTAAGGAGGTCGGTACTCAAATGGAATCTTCAGCCTGGAAAAATGCCAGTGGAGAAGTATTTGATGTCGAGGAGGGTAACATTGAACCTGATGGGGCTAAGGAGGCTGGTACTCGAATGGAATCTCCAGCCAGGAAAAATGCTGGTGGAGAAGTAGTGGACGTCGAGGAGGGTGACATTGGATCTGGTGGAGCCAAGGAGGTTGGTATTCAAATGCAATCTTCCAGCCATCCAAATATGTCTAAACGAAGTTTAATGGAGAGGAACAGTACCGCCCAGGTTTACAAGGTATGGGTTTTTGTTTCACTTCAGTTTACTGATTTCTTTCCTTGCTAATGATTAATTGCTTCTTTATCTACTGTTATTATTCTTTGTAAAATTATGTTATATGCATAGAAGGTTGGTCCAGCAAGGTCAGGTTTGATGGCAGAGACTAGGTTTGTAGGCTGGGTTAGTTAATGGGTTTAGAGAAGGGTTTTGACTGAGGTGATGATAGAATTTGATTCAGAAAGACAAATATATTTTTTGTCCATACTAAAAGTTTGGATGGTGCCATCCAAATTGTTGAACTTGATGAAATCTCAATGCTGAAACAAATATTTTTAGGCCAAACAAGATCGAGATTTCTGAGCTCACTACACTAATCTTTATTTGTTCTTCTAGTGGGATGATTCCATTGATGATGATGACTCGTCTGAAGAAAGAGCCAAGCGTCTTCAATTATCTAATCCAAAGAACACAGATGTTTCTCCCCCAAACAAGCGCAAAACCCCAAATTTTGCGAGGAATAATAGAAGGGCCGAGAGAGGCAGCAACGCGGTTGCTTCTCCACTGAAAAAGCAAGAATCCCCTAAATTTGAGAGGAAGAGAAAGGCCAGGAGATGGAGTCTACAGGAAGAAGAAGCTTTGAGGGATGGCGTTGAAAAGTACGTGAAATATTTATTTATTGGTAATGATAAGATTTGATATGTTTAACCTGTTATGATCTTTTCTTCGTTCTTATTGTTGGTTTTGATTGATATGCAGGTATGGTATAGGGAGTTGGAAAATGATTTTGAAATCCAATCCCGAAGCTTTTCAGGAGAGAACTGAGGTAATGGAGTGTATTTTTTCATAAACCTTTTACTGTCTCTCTGCAATTATTTGCCATATGTACGTAACTACGTATCTGTTCTTTCTTGTTGCATATATCTCTCGTTCTTACCTATTTCTTCTTATAGGTGGATTTGAAGGACAAGTGGAGAAATTTGTCTGGACGTAAGCACCGTTGACAGCTACAACATTTAGGATGCTAAGTTCTTTTGTATTCAGTCTTTCCATGTATATATAAAAGTGTATCTATGCAGGTGTTGAAATTTACATCAATTTTTTAAATTTCTGAAGTCCTCACTGCATGTTCATATCCCCCAAAATCTTTTGAATTTTTTTGGGTATCTCTCAAAATATCCCGAAATATCCAGAGAAATTGATTTAGCCCCATGCATCCTCATAAATTTTAGAACGTCGAATGGCTCACGGTCAAATAACATTTCCAATTGCATATATATAGCAAATGATGCAGATATAATGTTAAACAATTTGATTGAGTTTCCATTGATCACAACTCCATAAGATTATCCGTGAAAGACCTTACCAGGCAAGAATAATCCTTCGGCTAATAGCATAGAACTAGTAACAATAGGTTACATGTCAATGAATTTTACATCGTGATTGAACTTGTCTCAGAGCGTCCTAACTATGAAATATTTGCTTTATCATTTAAACAATTAGTTAATGATCATACTATTTTCGTCAACAAAAGAATTTGGATAGAAGACCTTGAGACATGCATCAACATCTCCGAAAGAATGCTGCAAGAAAACTGCTTGTGATATGTGTAAATTCTGATTCACAACTGCATGGAAAAGTAGAACAGTCAGCAAATTGTAAAGAGACTCAAAACAGAGGAGAAATCCTCCCCCTCCTCGTTTTCCACCTGGTAGAAGAGATTCCTCATGATTTTAAGTTCTAGAATGGCAAACTGTCTTACTCGAAACAATTTTTATTCAGCTTAAATCTAGACCCTGTCTTTGGACCCTTAATTACTAATTGTCTTTTATCTTTGAAGAACAAATTATTTTTCTGAAACCATCTCCCCAATCCTTTAAATTGTTTAACTTTAACGGTTTAACCAAAATAGAATGTATTTGCAATGCTCATGGTATGCTGCACCCAAAAACCAATTTTACATTGTGAAGGGGTTTTTATCACTATAGGCAGAAAATACAAAGATATACATGGACATAAGAAATTTAAGAAAAACATTGCATACATTAAGTTGGAAGTGATGACATTTGAAGTTCATCTTCTATTATCCCGTTTGATGGATTTGGCTTTTGAAATGAATCTTTCCTACTTCGGTCCAAAGCAGTTGACTCATATATTCCTGCAAAATTTACAGGCCAAACACATAAGCTACTTTACAATTTGGGAAACAGTAACTGCTATGGATAAAACTGCCACATGAAAATTCCTCAAGGAGTAAGGCCCTTTCCACTGACAGGAAGAATGTGTTCTTTTCACAGTGCAGCAGAAAATTTGTAGCATTTTTTCTCAGTTGCCAAGTTTAACTACTAATAATTTCTTTTTCTAGCAAATCATTGCATTTTAGATCTTCCATTGCAGAGTTCTTGATAAAATGTAGTTGGTTCAAACTGTACATCAATTAGTAACACAATCCATTTTAATGTTTTCTAGTTGAAGAAACTCACTATTAAAAACAAAACATGAAAAAACTCAATACCAAACAATGAAGCTGAAAATTGAAATATTGAGTGTAAACAGATCAACAAAGACATGGTTCATTCGTGCCTACAAACAAACACCAAAAGTTTCTCATACAATCTGTATAGAACATTAAACCATATTATTTGCGTTATACATATATAACAAGTTATTATCCATACAAGGATATCTTACGTGAAACACTAGCATAGTGTTAAATTTAGTCTCCTGAGCAGAAAGTTTTATACCCCTAGCTTCTGGCAATCTTTTCATCAAGAAAACTAGGCAAGAATAAGATTTGATACTTATAAACAATCAAATTAGTTCTCTAAAATAATTGGATATTCTATTTCTGTACTTTTAAGATTCCTTTCATTTTTAAGATTTAATATATATAATCCCCAGCGTGACCAAGAGGAAGGAGAAAGTGAAACACTTGAAGAAAAAAGAAAGCATCATACTCCATCCACAGTTCTTTCACTCTAAGAAAACATGAAAAGAAATTTAACATACCAAAGCCCAATACTGAGGAGCAAATTACAAAGCCTGGAAGAGAGAAGTCCATTTTGTACAATGTCTCCATGATAATTATACATCCTCCAGCAACCATTAAATGCCTTGGGGAAGAGAATACCATGTGCAACCTGTAAATAGATAACATAGGTAGCAATCATGAATAATCAACAGGTTCCTATCATGACAAATAGTCTCAATACCAGAAGACATTAAATTCCTGAGCGTTAGATATTCTTTGTGGCATACCTCTCCTCTGCAATACTATCAACATAGAATATCAAGATGATTCCAAAGAATATGGTGCTCAAAAATGCCCAGGCAGAGAAAGGCAATTCCACACTGCTACCAGAGGTGGATCCCTGAAGTGTTCCAATTTAATCAGAAAAAAAGGGAGAAAAAAATTCAAACAAGCTAAGACCAATGGCAATATCTAATAATGATATTTGAAAAACGCATATGCTTAGATCAAATATTGATTACCAAGAATCGTACAGCAATACTTACAATGATCAAGTCCCACATGGCCACAGGGAATAGGAAACATGTTGCAGAAGCAATTGTTACTGCATTAAGCCGCCTTTTAAGTTGATTCTGAAAAGGGCAATGATTAGACATCAAAATTTTTATTTATTAGCTTTCATGAAAATTTTTGAACTCACAAAGAATAAATGAGATAAGTTAAATATCAAAACCTTCAGTGAAACACGCCGTGCAATAACCCTTCTCAAAGCTGATAAGATCCCAGCCAAGATTGGAACCACCATCTCTGTCATACCCAATGCTTCTTTTGTCTGAACCTCTATGTCAAGGTTGTCTCTGAATGGTACTCTCTGGTTAAGTTTATTCAAAAAACTTGAAAAGGCAAAATGTTCAGCATAAGAAAAAGAAGTTGATAGTTGAACAATACAAGAAAAGATTAAAAACAGACGGAAGCAGATGAAATGATAGTGAACAACAAGCCTATTAGCTTGAAAACTAAGTAAAGCTTAACACACAACAGGATATAAAATGGAGACAAAGTTGCCATAGCCCATCCTTGAGATAATAAGTAAAGTGCTGCCAACATTGCAATAAGCCCACCAACCTGGTAATGGAGGAGAAAATGACATTGAAATTAGGGAAGAGAAGATATCTATTATTATATGTTTTGATATTTTATTCTTTGGAAAATAGACTTACTATCCCAATTTCTATAGAAATGGTATGAGTTCTTTTTCTTATATAGTATTTATAGTAACAAAATGACATAAGCACTATCACTTAGTTTTAAAAGTCAAGCATATAAAACTGTGGACATTGTTATAATGATACCAGTAAAGGGTCCAGGTTCCAAAAGTCAACTATTTATATAAGGATAGCTCTTGAAATTCCATAAATTCAAAAAGAAAGTGACCAAGAGAAATGAAGACCAATTAGTCACTAGAATACCAATCATCCTACAATCTCTAGCAATTCAGGCCTAAGTTCCCAAAATCTGGTATTCAGTGAAGAAAAAGCCAAAGTAATATCTGCATAACAGCAATAAATTAACAAGAATACTTCAGCTACCTTTTTCCAAACATGGCCTCTTCGCCCATATAATACTGCAGATAATACTCCTAGCACAGCACCAGAATATTCTGCCATTATAGCCCTAGCAAAAAAAATAAGAAATTAGATTGGCAAAGGAATTAATTAAAGTTTAATTAAAAAAGAGTAGAGGTCATACAGAATAAAGAAGATAAAAACAACTACCTATCTAAATAAACCAAAAATCAATAGTATTATCCTCCTGGATTTGGTGTTACATATAGATCAGAGATGTAACAGTGATCTCAAAGAAAAACATACTGGAAAAGGATCCAAGGTCCTGTTTTTCTTTTTCTATTACGTTTTTTGTATGGAATGAGGGGTGTGGTTTAAATATCATATAAGAGAGCGTCAAAAGATTGCAAACTAATGCCTAAGCCCTTGATATAGATACAATGGTCCTAAGAAATTTTGCCGTGAAATTTAAATAGCCCTCAAGAACTCACTTTGCAATCTAACAGATGCATTGTCCTTAGTATAAAACGGGAACATAATATATCTGGCACATCTCCACCCAATACTAAAAGGTATCAAAACCAAGGACATTATTTCCATAACTGGAGATGGAAAAGATAGTTCGGACAATACCAGCAAAATTACTTTTAAAGCACCAGAAGACCTACCTAAGTGGTCCACATGATTTAAGCCCCTTTACCCACAAGATGAAGTATATCGCGGTTATGGCACCGTTTACCACAGAAGGATAAACCTGAAAATTGACAGATAAATGAACAAATCTATTCAGGCAAATGATACAATACTAATAATAAACTCTTTTTTCCAATTTCCAGTACTAAACCTGACTATTAGAAAGTGGTCTTCCCTTCCATGGCTTTTGCAACAACAAAAACAGGAGGGAAGATGGAACCAAACAGCAGAAGATGAAAAGTACTGATGAAGCTCCTGTTTGAGTGAAATAGTGATACATGGAGTAAACCGACCATATTCTAAAGAAGTTTCCGAGGATATGAATTATCTGCAAAGGTGTGTGTCTACAACAAACACAAAAATCAAAAGTAAATCATCTAATAATTGGCAAAGGAAGACAAAAATATAGCAGTAGATATAAATGGCTCAAGGCAATGTTTGGCGACCGAGAAAATGCAGGAAACGGAAGGAAAATAAGAATGTAGAACTTCCTTATAACACATCAATCCAATAAAAACTTAAAAGCTAACGGAAAGAGTAAGAAATGCTCAAGACTGAAAAATTCAGCCATCTCACTCCCTATTATTTTCCGGGAAACCAAACAGAAAGTTAGGGTTATGGAGGAATGACGGAAAAAGATTTGAGATTCGGATGCTTAATGCGTACCTGAAATTAGGAGATCCTCGATCCTCAGAGATTTGTTTGGGAGACATCATTTTCTGCTTTCTGCTCGTTCCAATACAAGTTAGGAATGCGAAGGTGAGGATTTATCGTGGGCTTATCAACTGAGATTAATGCTTAATACTGAAGATTAGAGGAAGATTAACGTTTACAACTAGATTATTATTAATTAATTACAGATGATGGGACTCTGCCTGTGTTTATTGTTTAGCAACGAGGAAGAAACCCAGTCCCCTATTATGGCTTGGATTATTGGGTTGGGCCTGTCCAATGCTGGGCTTTAATTGGCTCGATTTTTCTTTTTTTTTTTTTCTTTTTGGGTGGACTTATGCTTTCAATTTTGGAGTCAAGGGGCAAGGATTGAGAGGGGAAAGGGAAAGGAAAGGATTGTCGCGCATTGCAACTTGTTGCAATAAAAGGAGTTGAGACAAAACTTTAGTAGGGACATGAAAATTCATTGTTGAAATGCAATCATAGTTCAACTCCTAGAGGCTGAATTAAGGAATTATGTAACTAATAATATGTTTGGTTTGAGGAAAACAGAGGAAAATAAAGTGAAGTGAAGGGATAAATTTTTTGATTAATCAAATTGTAGTATTTAAAAATATTATAACTAAATTAGTTTAAAAATTCACCCTTCCCTTTCCTTTCCTCCATTCAACCCAAACATGTTATAAAAGACACCAAGCCCGGGATGTATGACTACGAACTCCAGGGGCATGTCAAGCAGAAGCCTACATCACAAGGCACAAAACTGCATGATGCATCTGCATAATGCAAGAGCAGGACCAGCATTGGATCAGGATTCAAGCAGGATCCAAGAAATGTAGACAAAAAGGATGCCTGTACATGAAGGCACAAAAGATATTTCTTTAAGATTTGGTATCATTTTAAGGCACCCTTGGTTAGGATATCTCCATCACTCTTGCTACATTTTTTAAAACTTGACGATAAAAAGGACTGACCAAAAGAAAAATAAAAAACAGGCGGAATTTTCTTAGGAAGAGCTTTGAGTTTAATGAATTTTATCCATTTTCTATAGGTATAGCTATTTTACATAATTTTATTACAAGTAGATGGAGCCTTGCATCAATTTCAGCCTATATACCAATGGAACATGAGACCCCACTTGAACGTTAATCTGGCTTGTATAGGAAATGTTGTCTTTGTGATGCTGCGGAAAAGGCCAAGTGGAAGTTTGTCAAAAGGGGTCATGGAAAATGATGGAGCAGATTGTAGAAGCTTTAATTTGAAGGGGCAATGGAGCTTTACCATTAAGAAAGTTGAGAAAACATACTGCCCCATCCTCTTGTGGGCATGGCATGGCCCATTCAAGCTGTCCTAAGACCTCAGTCACCCAACCCCTTATTTATGGATGCAATGGACCTGAATATCCTTTTTTTTCATTTCAATCATTCACTACATAAACTGGCAACATCTGCCAGATTCTCTTTATCTATGTGTTGAAGGACCCCTTTCTGTTCTGGGGATCCTAACATACTGTTTGTATCATTTTATTTCTATTGTCGGATACCTGGATGTCACAAAGCAATCAGGTTTTCTTTCTATCTAGAGTTTGCTTTCATTTGTTAAAAACTCATTAGTGATCAGAAAACAAAAATAGGGCACCTGAAGTCAAGTGGTTTTCAGAAGGAACGTTGCTCAAGATCCAGATGTTGCATGATTTCAGTAATTATTGTGCTCAATTATTATGTTTTTAATAATGAAATGCATTTTTTGTCAACATATGATTGATTCAAGTTCATACATGATCATCAAGGAATCCAGTACTTCAGATAGGTGCAGGTGGTATCACATCCAGGATTTCAGTATTCATAGACTCATGACCTCAAAAATCAAAAGGAAAAACAAAAAGGTCCATATATGCTAGATTATTAGCTGATCTATTACAACAGTTCAGAAATCTCTCTTCCTCACTTAAAAACCAATAGGACATTGTGTTATTAGATGGAAAAAGAAACTGCTTCACAAAATGTGAGGGATTCGACCTGCCAAGACAACAGCTCTGAATTTGCAACAAAAGTAGAAGACAAACTTTAATATTTTCAATCCTAATTATTCTCAACCTTTTCATATTGAAATAGTGATAATATAATCAGGACATCTGAAAGGTAACAAGAAACAGATTTGACATTCCGAACCCACTTTGCTACTTATCTGCAAACATATTTGATCTTTGGGGAAGAGAGGTTGGGAGCATATTCTTGTTGTATATAGGAACAAGGGGTAGGGGCCAAAAGTGCAGTCAAAGTGGCCATGTCGAATGGAAGGAGTTCTGCTCTCCATATCTATCTCTTGCCCATTTCTCCACCCCTCGTGCCTCATGTGTACTTGTCCCCTGCATCATTGAACAGGCAATATTACTCATCTTATTATGTAAAATATAATATTTCTATATGCATCATAAAAAGTTCAATTGCTTTTATGAGTTTTTTAATCAATTAAATTACAACATTTTTAAATATTGTAATTGATTGGTAAAAAAATCCATCCCTTCTGTTCCCTTCCCTCAGTTTCCCGCATATCAAACATATGTTCGTGCATCCAATTTGAAAATGGAACAACCATTTGCCAACTATCTTAATGGAGGCAATTCAAGTATTCAGGTTGTTGTTGACTCTACTAGGTTAAGTTTAATTCAGCACTACATTGTAAGGACTTTGGATAAGAAATTTTCAGTATATCATATTTAGGAATTTGGTAATGGATGTGTACCTGTGCCTTCAAGTCATAAGAAGAGCATGCCGCTGCAAGCTCCATTGAGAGAAACTGAATTTGGTTAACAAAGGGAGAAAATGAAATTAGAGCAAAATTTTTGGGATATTGATGTTTTTAACACAAAATCATGAAGGTTTCTTGATATATATTCAATTTACCTCAACTTGATTTTGCAATGAATGCACGTAATTGATTATCTCCTCCAGCATAACAGCCATACCCTTGGTCTGTAAATCAATTGATAAACACAGCTTATAGTACATACAATCAAAGAATGAACTTGGTCAGACACACACAGCACTAAGAAGGTTTTACCTTGTGGCATCCAGGAACAAGGTCTTGCAAGCACCTCATTTTCTCATTGATTTTCTCTCTTCTTACCTGACACAAAAAATGATCATGCTAAGGTTTAGATATCCTTTCATTTTCTCTCAAGCTTTTTAATGCTTATTGAAGAACAAAGTCCAAAATCAATAGTAGTTGGTAACCCATTTTTGTTGATTAAACGAAAATTTTTAGGAAAAAACATACAAAAGTACCCTTTCAGCTAAACTGTGACTATCTGTAGCTTGACCTCTTCTTGCTCTAACATGAACTACCTCGTCCGATTTCTCTGGATCCTTCTGATTGCTCCTTCCTCTTCTTCCCTTTCCCATTCTCTGTAAGCATCAATAAGAAAAGGCAGGATAGACTAAGTGTCACATAAAGAGAAATTTCAAACCTTAAATAAATTTCAGAACTGAAACTTGAGAGACAGAGGAGTTCAATAAATGGAAAACATACATTCTTTTTTCTGCTGCTGATGTTTCCTCCAAATTCAGATGTAGAAACTGCAGGAGAAATATTGTGGAACCCACTTGTGGACTGCTCCATTGCTTTTCTCTTGTTGCTTCCCTGTAAAACATTCTCATCTGCCATGATGGACGGAGGAGCTGGCGCTGCAGAAAGGCTGGAGCTGCTATTCAAAGTGCTTAAAAGGTTATTATGAATACACCTAGATGCCAGAAAATCAGGCTGCTGGTGGGCCAACAAGGTTTCCAGGAAGAAGTCTGCAACATTGAAATTCTCAGGTATATTATGATTCAGCACTGAAGGCTGCTTTGTCATTTCCATGCTGATATCCATCTCTGAAATAGGATGGGAAGCCTTAAAACCCTGCAAATATTGCCTAAACTCACCCATGTAAAAGTTTCAACTGAAGGGGGAGGGGTGTTTAGAGACCTAAATTATGGTGAGTATTATGTGCTATATATAAGGAACCATATGACTGAACTATTAGCAACTATGGGGGCATCAGAGCAGTTTGGTTTTGCTTTACGATTAAGTAAAAAAATGAGAACAAAAATATGTGAGCTCTTAAGTGGAAGTCTCATTTTCTAATCCTAAATTTCTTTTTGGTAGGCCCCAAACAGATGATAATAGATATGCAGTAAATGGGGCCCTTGTAAATTGTGGGAGGGGCACCAAAATCAATACATGAATTCTTGTTTTCAGACCCTAACCAATACATGTCCACACTTGTTAAACCAGGATGAAAATATGGGTAGTTGCAATTTTTGATGTTTTGAAAATAAAGAAACGATTGAAAACTAAAAAAAGAAGAGGAAGAAGAAGGAATGCACTTGTTGGAGACACGCCCTGTTGAATATTTGGTACCTAGTTCATGTTACATGGGTATAAGCAGAAACAGAAAATGGAGCGAAAAGATGGAAAGAGAAAGAGTGGGAGTTACTGCTCACTGACTTATTGACTCACTGTATTCAGATTTTAGGTTAAATTTTTAATTTGGTCCCTAAACATTGTATAGACTCTCAATTTGATCTTTAAACTAAAAAATTCTTGATGTGATTCTTAAACTAAAAAAATTTTTGATTTGGTCCCTAATTAATGTACGCACCCCGATTTGGTTCTACTGTTTATCAATTTATTTCAAGTTGGTTTTTTTGTACAAAAATTAACTAACGTATCTTATTATTAATGTGATATATGACCATTAAGTTATTGTTTTTCATCGTTAAGTTACTATTTTTACCATTAAATAATAGATACATCTGGTTTTTTTAATGAAAAGATCAACTTAAAGTAAATTAATAAATAATATAAATTAAATTGAAATAATATAATATTTTAGGGATCAAATTAAAAATTTTTTAATTTATGAACTAGAATTCATATAATAATTCAGCAATTAAATTAGAGGTTTAACTCAGATTTTACCGCATTAGGAGGCACAGTAAATCAGGAATTAAGACCAAAGTCCAAGGGAGATAAGTATTGTTGTTGTCGTGTTCCTGCGTGAAGGCTCAGCTTCACACCCATGGCTGCTCTTCTCTCTTTTCGACCCACCTGCCTCCATCAATCCACCCCCAAGATGACCATACAGCCCTTTGCTGTCCTCAAAGATGCTCAGAAAATGAGAGTGCCATATGAGCTGAAGGAAGGGCAGAGCCGGCTTTTCCACAAGCTTCCCTCTGGTCTGGACATGGAGGTTATTGTTCAAAGAGCCCCTAAAGAGAAAGACCCAGATGAGCAAAACCAACCTTTGGTTTTTGTTCATGGAAGCTACCACGCAGCCTGGTGCTGGGCCGAGCACTGGTTGCCCTTCTTTTCTGTTTCTGGGTTTGATTGCTATGCCATTAGCTTGTTAGGTCAGGTGATGATTACGTATCTTATCCTTTAAATTATCTTTTCTTATCTTAAAGTGTTGAAATTTACTTATGATTAACAACATAAGAAGTGGAGAGACTGACACTCCTTTCCTGTGTATTCCGTTCGTTTCTTCTTTTCACTGTTAATGAGTGTATGCTTTAGATGGAGCTTGGAGCTTGGAACTTGGAACTTGTAAAGGGAAAGGAGACAGAAAAAAGAGAAAATCTAAACTTTATACTATTGGGATCTGATTACTAACTCAATGAAAAGAAACAGCTAATATCATGTTCATTTGCATTGATATGGGCTTATGAACATGACTCATAAGAAGGGAAAAGAAGGAAAAAGGACTCAGCCAGCTTAAAGTTTCTTGGCTTGCTTGAGATAATGTTGGTCGGTGGCAATTTTTTCTTTAACCAAAAAAAAAAAAAACCATGTAAGATTAGGATTAAAAAGTCTTGTTATTCCACTATGAAAAGCCTTATCCTTATCCTCTTTTAGTACTGTAATTAGACAGTTAAGTTTTGACATCAAGCTACAATTGAGTGATTGAGGAAAGAACCCATATTCAAATGATTCTGTTATAGTCATGAAAATAGAGCTTTCATGTTGCTGATTTGTACTCATATATAAAGATCTTTCGTTCTGTGAAATAAATTGAAAGTTGAAGCTCTTTTTAAACCAGTTTTGTTATATAGTAGCAGATGTCATAGTATTTTAATAAATCAATGTCTTCTCAACCTTTCTTGGTGCTGATTTCGAGTGTACAACTATTGAGTCTTTTCAAATTCACTTGCCTTGACTAATTTTTGTAAATATCATGTTGGTTTGGAATACTGTATCTACATGGACAGGGTGAGAGTGATTCACCAACTGGTAGTGTTGCTGGTTCTCTGCAGGTTAAAATCTTTTTCCATTCTTTAATCAAGTTGTCCTTCTTTCACTCTTGCACTGTAAATAATGCAATATGTTTTCCTTCTTTCACTTCTAATTTCTAAATAAAGGGGTTGTCTAACCCATACAAGTTAAGGGTGCAATAATTGCATCTTCTTACAATTAATTTATACAAAAGTTAACTTTTATTTTAGTGTCATTGTCACATGGATAGTTTTAATTACCCAATTGATTAAATTCAAGTCAACTTTTGTTATTTTTATGTAAATTAATTATAAAATGGTGTATTTATTGCACCCTTAACCTATGCCTTAAGGGCACAAAATAGAAAACCCCTTAAATAAATTATTGTTTCAAGATAAGACAGGGTGCTTTTCTAATTTCCAGTTTTCACTCCATAAAACGCAGTAGACACATGCAGGAGATGTGGCTGATTTTATCCAGAAGAAACTCAACTTGCCACCAGTCTTGCTTGGACATTCATTTGGAGGGCTTATTATCCAATACTATATTGCAAACATGAGTAATGGACAATTTTTAGGTAGCTTCTTGTTTTCTATTGATTGATAAAGGAAAGACCTCTAGGGGCAATGCGTTTACTGATATGAAATTGAAACAAGACCCAAGTATCCAATTTGAGGCATGTGTGTGTCATTTTGAACTTACATCAGTCTCTCTAAAGGCGATCTTCCTGGAGAAATTTTCCTCAATGTAGTCTTGACTCTTGATTAATGTCCCTGCTTTTGAAAAACGTTTACTTACGCTGCAGTAGTTTCTCCTTTGCTAATTGAAAATGATCTTTGACCCAGAAACTTCATACCCCAACCTCCTGGGAGCTGTCCTTGTCTGCTCTGTACCTCCTTCTGGTAATAGGTGATTTCCTTGCTATTTGATATTCACAATCTTCCTTTACTTGTGTAGCCTGGTAAGACTAACATTCCTTCTTTTGTTCAGTGGCTTAGTATGGCGTTATCTCTTCTCCAAACCCATAGCTGCTTTTAAGGTAACTGCTTTCAGAATTTGAGGAGCTGGAGCATTACTCTTGTCCCCTCCTCTCTCATTCATGCTTGGAACACAGATGTAAAAAGAAGCGCAAATTAAATGGCTGTTTTATTTTGCAAATATGCATCAAAGTTCATAAAACTGTATTAAATGGTCTATCTTTTTACTTTTAATATTGCAACCTGCATTTTTCTACATGGTCTAATTTTTTAAATTTTGAGCAGGTTACACGCAGCTTAGCAGCTAAAGCTTTTCAAACTTCGTTGTCTCTTTGTAGGGAAACCTTTTTCTCTCCAATCATGGAGGATAGTCTAGTTTTGAGGTCTGTTCACTAACCATTTGTCCATTCCATGAGGTTTTTATTTTCTTTCAGTTGTTCTGAATTTTCATGATAAAGTAACATGTGATATGGATAGTTGGTTTTCTCTCTTTCAGATATCAGAAGCTAATGAAAGAAAGTTCAAGGTTGCCATTGTTTGATCTGAGGAAGCTGAATGCATCACTTCCAGTTCCAAGGACTGAGCCCTGTCTCGAAATTCTTGTGCTGGGGGCAAATGATGACTTCATAGTGGTAATTCACATATGCATCATATAACTCATTTGCTTTTCTTTCCTCTAATGCCTCAGCAAAGTCTGCAATAGCTTGAAAAGAACATTTAAGTAACAGTGAACATGTGTTTTCTCAGGTCATCAACAAGTGTATTACTCTGCCCCTTCTGGTAATTTTTTTGTACTTTCTTCTTCTCATCAATTTGTTCATCTTACAGGATGCTGAAGGACTGAGTGAGACAGGGAGATTTTACAGTGTGTCACCAATCTGCATTGAAGGTGTTGCGCATGACATGATGTTGGACTGTTCCTGGGAGAAAGGTGCTAAGGTTATACTATCATGGCTGAATGGTTTGAAGCAAATTAGGACCTGAGGCATGTAGGGAGAAGCATGGAGGCTTCTCATTTGTTTCTAGAACAGTATTCTTTTTTTATTGAACTTTCACTACCGTTTCTTTTTATTTTTTTCCACTGAGTACTAAGGACATTATACGTATCAATCGCTCTCCTTCAGATGATTTGAATCTATGGATTTATTGTTTAACAATAATAATCTTCAGCAATCAAGAAGACAACAATATAAATGAATACTAGATTTGAATGAAAAATTTGTACAAAAAAATATATGAAGAAAATTTAAGGGGAGAAATAAGTGAAGGAGAAAAGGGAAAGAAAGAAAAATAATAATAAATTGTCAAAAAAAAAAAATTTTCTGAAAGACCGGGGAAAACACAGCAAATGGATCTAAAAGAAAAAAAAATTGTAATGGAATAAATTGGAAACTCAAAATTAGGGATTAGCATGGGTAGGTATGGACTAGGTGTTTGTCCATGCTTGTACTTGACTTGAATACTTGCGGTTACAGGTACAAGATTTCAATACTCAAACTTATTTGGATATTGAAAATTTATCTATGTTATTCAATTTGATGGGTACAAGTATATTCACAAATATATTTGCATATCGGTTAAATTCCACACTAAAAATACATAAGTTAATATACAACTACAAGTTCATACATATAATATAAGTTTATATATAAAACAAAATATGTGAGTATATATACTTATACATATACAAGTTTATATATACAATAACAAAAAAAAATGCAAATACAAATCCATATGATTTTCCTTTAATTGAATCTTTACTACGAGAAGAAAAGAAAAAAAATATAAACATTTTTATTTCATAATATTATATTACAAATTAACGAAATAAAACTAAAATATAGGTCAAGTATATAGATTAAATATACATGTCAAATATATGAGCTAGGTATACAGGTCAAGTATGTAGGTATTGGCACTTATACCCAATACTTACTCGATCCTTAGCAAATATGCATTTTTCTTATCTAGTATTTAACTGTCTCTCTATAGGTACATATAAAATATCTACCTAAACAAATTAAGTATCTATAGATATCAGATATACCTATACTCAATGCTCAGCTCTACTTAGAATACCCCAACCCTTTAAAAAAAAAAAATTAAATACTATACAATCAGACTAGTTAATTCCAAAGTTAACAATAAAGAGAAAAAAAAAAATCATGTTAATGTTGTCATTTCTTTTGTTAAACTTTGACTTTAATTGACCATAATATGGTATTTTATAGCGCTTAATTGGCTCAAAATAAGTGTAATGGCTAAAATTGAAAGAACAAAATACGTTCAGGAACTTAGGGGCAATCCATGATCATTGTGGACTAAACTGTATTTTCATTCAAGTATGAGGGGTTTTCAGTTACCCCACAAAACCACCGTCGTATTATGTGAGCCGTCCGATTGGAAAACTGGTGCCCTAATTTTTTTCCGCCGCTATTAAACCCTCGTTACCCTTTTGCTTCTTCTCTCTTAGCAGCAGTAGCAGCAGAAGCTAGGGTCTTCCTCGTTTCGTCGCCGACTTCCCTTCGCTTCTCTGGTTGGTAAGCTCTTTGTTTGGACTCGTCATCTTCTTCCCGGTTTTCGTTTCACGGGTTCTCTTCATAATCTTCTACTTTCTCTTAATATGTATAATAAAAGCTGCTACATATGTTTAGTTAGGATTTTTTATGCTATATAATGTTGTTTATAGCATTAATAAGTTTTTGGGCAGAAATGGGTTGTCTTGTTTTCAGCGTTGGCTCAGTGGGATCTCTCTCTTTTTTTTTTTTCTTTTTTTCTTCTGTTTTGTGCCTCATTTCATTTTTTTGTTAATTTTCTACTTTTCTAGTAAATGCATTGAGTTTGGATGAGATTCTACTTCCTTAATACTGTTGGGTTATGGGAGCAAAAATTTTGTTTTTCTATTTTTTTTTTTTATGTTGATAAGCATTATTGGGTAGATTTTTTTGAAAGTGATCAAGTCTATTGAATCCTGTTTTGTTGCAGAATTCAGTACTAGCATCGTCATTGCCCTCAGGTTTTACATTGTAACATTTAGTTTTAGTTTGTACCTCTAGAATCTTAAAGATTCAAAATTTGCTCTGGATTATAGGCTTAAACTATGCACATTTTCTCCTCTTGTCGTAAACATTTCTATGCCATCTCTTTTCCTGAATTGTTATATTGGTCAATTAATTTTCTTTATTACTATAATATGTTGTTGTAGTTGTCTACCATACTTGTGATATATGCCCCCAAGATGGAATGCCCTTTGTGGGGTTCTGTTTGTGGTTTAACTTAGGTATGTTAGTGGTGAGGTAGCCACTAACATTCTGGCCTAGAATAAATGAGCTTACTGTTTATATACGTATGGATGGTACATCTCTTGGAAAACTATTGGATGGTTTGTTCATGTTTGTACTTTAACCAGCTGTTGTTGATAACCAGATCTGTCAAGATGTATACCTCAAGGAAGAAGATCCACAAGGACAAGGATGCTGAACCCACCGAATTTGAGGAATCAGTTGCACAGGTTAGTTAATTATGCTAAATGATAATGAGCTGCTATCTAATCTAGCAATTTAAAGAGTCGAATACATAACAGTTTACGGCTTTGCAGGCACTGTTTGATTTGGAGAATACCAATAATGAACTAAAGAGTGATTTGAAGGATCTCTTCATCAACTCAGCAGTGTATGGATTGTCATTGCCTTGCATTTCATTTTCATATTTGCTGTTGGCCTCTTGTTCTTTTTTATTTTTTATTCCATTTCTCACTATTAACGTATATGATTTTAATCTTATTACAGTCAAATGGATGTATCTGGAAACCGCAAAGCAGTTGTTGTTTATGTGCCCTACAGATTGAGGAAGGCATTCCGTAAGATCCATCTTCGACTTGTCAGGGAGCTGGAGAAGAAATTCAGTGGAAAGGTATTTTACCTGACTTTCTTTTCTTCAATAGCAAGTTTTTTTTTTTTTTTTGGGATAAAAGCAAAAGGACTGTTAATTTGTGGGGCCTTTTGTTGTTCTAAATGAGGCATTGTTAGACTAACTCAATATCCTCCAAATGTATGATAAGAATGTTTGTCTTGTTTCTGAGCTCCAACTGTAATTTCGAAGCTGAATTGCAGTCAAAGTTAACTGATTCTTATTTTATTTTCCAGGATGTTGTTCTGGTTGCTACCCGAAGGATAGCACGCCCCCCCAAGAAGGGCTCTGCTGTTCAAAGACCCCGCTCTCGCACGCTGACTGCCGTCCATGAGGCCATGCTTGAGGATGTTGTCCATCCTGCTGAGATTGTTGGCAAGCGCATCAGATACCGAATTGATGGATCCAAAATAATGAAGGTAGTTGAGATACCTTTTAGTTTAAGATGAACAGAAGAGTTGCAGTTCTTGGTATGGTGTTTTGTACTACATTGAACAACAGCTAATGGTAATATTTTATCATTTGTCAGGTTTTCTTGGATCCTAAGGAGAGAAACAACACTGAGTACAAGCTGGAGACTTTTGCTGGTGTTTACAGGAAGCTCACCGGAAAAGATGTGGTTTTTGAATATCCAGTTACAGATGCCTGAAGAGCTTTGATCAATGCCTTTCTGTTCTGTTATTTTATTTTAAAGTTCATAGTTTGGTAGTTTATTTGTTAAAATTTTGATTGGTGTCTTCTGAAACAGCGACAAATGAAACTTTTACAAAGGACCATCACTTCATAAATTTATGCAAGAAAGGCATTCTGAACTCCACAACCTCCTTTTGTAGTTCACAAATTTAGAGTCCATTT